AATGAGTATGTACACAGATTACTGAACTTCTAGTTGTTTTAGCAGAATATAATATATGATTGACATCTTCTCCAGAGGATATAAAATAACTGATTGTTTATAGAAACTCTTACTTGAGTCCCAGGTGAATTGATGTATAGGTATATAGGTTTGGAGGGGTTATCATAATCTAACCACATCAGCTGAGCAACAAGAAGCTCGGTGACAGCAGGAACTATCTGTTTAATATATAGAAAAAGACATGATCACACATCTGCATAAGACCGAAAGACGATGAATATCAAGCGCATGAATTTGCAAGCTACATTGTCCAAACACATGATGTCTTACTGGCATTCCAAGGTATACAATTCGAGCATCCAAGAGCAAAGAAGGCAAATCTGGAGGAGCAGATCTTGGCCTTCCATATCCTCGAGCACCACCACGATACATACTTACACTCATACTGTACTTTGATGGGCCATCATTAATGCCTGTTAAGCTATACATCCCTCCATTATCAAGATAATTTCTTGCAGAAGAAATGCTTTCCTGTAATTACATCCAATAACACATGGGACTCATCTCCATTTTAGTTCTTTGAACGAAAAAAACTTGAAAACAAGGTATTAGTCTCTCAGCTACCTCTGTAACTTTTTCCGCTTGCCGCCTCACGGGGTTATCTTCAGTCATGAACATGTCCATTTGTGAAGCAGTAAGGCCATATAGGTGCTTAGGAATGTTCTTATAATTGTCCATCACTGTCAACCATCAAAGAAGGGAGGATTTTAATCTAAAACACAGTACAAAAAGTGTACATTTTACTAAACATAAACAATTTGTTTGCTGAAAGAATGTAAATGGGAAACACCACTACCAAATCTAAATTAAATGAAGAAATATAGATCGAACCATTTAAGTTGATTCTGCACGAAAAAGTAGAGGTTGACCAAATATTGAACAAGTCAATGTGAACGGGAAATACCACTCCCAAATCTAAATTAAATGATGCAATAGCAATGGAACAGTTTAAGTTGATTATGCACAAAAAAATAGAGGATGACCAAATATTGAACAAGTCAGAAATCAACCACTCTCACACTGCACAGAATGAACCTTCACAAGCATATAAATGACCTTGATGTTTCCTGGAGGAAAGATGAATACTAAAAGATGGCCGACTCTCTCAATGTTTTCAGCATAGGCATTTTGGTTACAAAAATCTTATTTTAGCATGAGAAAGCTCCATCAAAGAAATAGTTCGATGTCATCTGTAGAGCCACTGTGATCCTCCGAAGTCATTTAGCTCCCAATCTAGACACCTCATCTTCAAAACCACATCATATTTCACCCTTATACCAACACCCATATGAAAGAAAAATGAAATAAGCTTCCTAGCATGTCCAATTTGAGAACACAAAATCGATAACTACTGTAATTAAGTGTTTCAAACACAGATTTTCCCATTTCAAAACTGTGAATTATATTGTTGTGATAGGGAAAAAGCTCGATGAAGTAACCAGCCGTTTTGAATGACTGGTGTTTATGGTGTTTATCTTCCTTACAACCTCACAGGAATAAAATGACAATAGAAAGTCTGAACTCGTCAAGAAAGACTTGTGAGGAGTGAAAGTATGTGAATAAATGCAAAATAAACCTACAAAAGTTAACAGATTTGACCACGTTAAGAGGTTCACATCTTCATAGTAATAACAAGAACAAAAGAACATGAAATCAACGGAAAAGACGCAAGCACTGAATCTAATTATCACGAAAATAAAACAAAATAAATAATTTCCGATACGAGGCACGAGGCGCTTACATCCCTTCTTGAGGTTTTCCTCCCGAAATTGTTTGGGTATGTGCTCATAGCTGCCAGAAGACCGTGACTCGCATCTCCAGGCCGCCTTCTTCCTCGAAGCTGTGGCGAGAGAATGAGGGGACCTCGCCGATAGCTTGAAGGGGGCTAAAAATGAGCTCTTGGGGACACCAGATCGAAGACCTAGTTCACGAGAGGCTCCTCTTCCGGGAGCGAGGGAGACATCGTCAAATGGAGAAGAGATGGAGAGAGGTCGCAGCGCGACCGCCATGGATTAGACTTCCGAAGAGAAACCGATGTAGTAATCCTCCTGTGGCGAGCGGCGGATCGAGCCCTAGCAGATGGCGTGTTACTATTTTTCTTGTGCCTTCGCCCGTTCTCTCGATCTCTTTCATCCTTTAGATGATGTTTTATGAAAAATTAACCGCATGAGTACCCACTAGTACACCATCCCTCGTGTCACATGGGTCTGATACAGGGCTCCACATTTTCTACCCATCACACCAAAGGTGGCCGTTCGTGGAAACACGTGCAGTAGTATTTCCAAACGAGGGGCCACGTCGTGTTTTATTCTTCACAGAAAAAAGAAGAGATTAAGGAAGGAAAAATAAAATAAAAGAAGAGATTTTTTATAAAATAGTTATTTTGTAAAAATAATGTTTTTTTATTATTTAGGTGTTTTTATCTTAAAAAATCGCACTATTCAACATTTTACCAAATGAGCCCTCTAATTAGTTTTTACTCTATGATATTTTTTTTTTATCAATTTGATAAAAATATCTTTCAACTCTCCACTAGTCGTTGATTGTTGCTGCCTTCATCGTCATCGCTCTCAACCATTGTTGTTGCCTTAACAGTCGTTGCTTCTGTTGCCTCAACTCTCCACTAGTCTGTCGCCTCCTCCTTTTCCTCTTGCTCTCCATTCTCCCTTCTCCTCCTCCTCTCTCTTGCTGCTTGCTCTCCCTTGTTACCTATGTGCAATGCCACCCATGGGTAGTAACCTTGTGCCCTCCTTTATTGTTTGTGCAATGTGGGTAAAACCGAAGCAAACACACAAAGGCACCAATGACATAAATATTAAATAGATGACCCTCATGGTTGACAAGAATGAGATCAAATGGCTCCTTGTCTTCAATCACGAGGAAGAGAGAGTGATAGAAGAAGGTGTGGGCAACGAGCGCAACAACCGTATTTTGGCCCTACGTGAACCATCGACAGATGCTGCAGACCAACGTGACACCGTATGCCTCTAGAACCGTGGGGTGTACGCTACGTCAAGCTTCAATAGTGTGACTGTGCAGCCTGATTACCTCAAGAGCTAGGGGCGATGTCGTCTATTGTTAGAGCAACGCCGTCTGACGCCGCTCGAGCACCCCCGAAGATGTCATCTCGTTAGAGAGGTTGTTTCGTCCCTAGAGTCAACGACCATGTCGGATCAGGGCCCGACCAATTCCCACACATAGGTATAAATACCCCCGACCTGATCCACGAATGAGAGAGGCAAAAAAATTAATTGATCACTCAACTGACTTGCTCGTCGGAGGGGCCTCGTTGGGTGATCCCAACGAGGGCCATTTTTACAGGAAAACGTGACCACTCACGAAGGCGAGCTGCCAACCACTCGGGAATCGCCATCCAGTGCACGAAGGAGAGCAGCCAACCGGCCTGGATCCCGACCAACACCAACCAACACCCCTTCCGGAGGTCGCGGCCACCTCATGAAGATGAGCTGCCAACCACCCCGGAGAAGGAGAGACGCAGCTTAGTATACACGATGCCCGGATCAGCACACTAAGGAACGCTGATCAACACCCCGTCGCGAGGCCTGATCGACCTCGACATCCAGCTCAGCCGACAGAAGACTCCCGATATTGACCTGTGGACCAGGCTGTGCTGACTCATCAGCCACGGCACATTTGTTCATTAACATTTTGGCGCTAGAAGGAGGGTCATGTCGTAGGAGCATCCCATGGGAGCTCTCCCCGAGGAAGAACTACCGACCGATCACCCTTTTGTCGGGCCCGGAGATCAGCCCCTTCCCATCATTCGAGATGGGGGGATCCCGGCCTCGACGCCAGATCGCTGCTGGCGCCCGTTCAATGACTCGGGGTTACCACCTCCCAAACTTACCGCGAGATCCTCGGTCGTGTCGCCCGAGGCGTTCCTCAGCCTGACCAACCAAGTACAAGCGCAAGGATGATGTAGATGCTCGTCCCACTCATTCCCCAAATCGTGCAGCTAGCAGCTCCCTTGACTCACCCGACCCGGCAAAGGCCGAGCAGGGAGCAGGTCGAGACAGTAGAAGCCCGAGACCAAATGACGGACCCGAGAGGTTCGCCCGAGCAGAGCATACCTGCACCCTGCCAAGTCACACTACCCCACTTTGAGCCGAACACCGTATCATCTGACTCAACGGACGACTCGCTTAGGGCCCAATTGTCCTGGGTCAACCAATGTCTGGATGTGTTCCAGCATGAATTTCAAAAATCGTGGGGCGAGTCCAGCGAAGGCAGCTCGGGCGGGTCCCCTTTCACTCAGGAAGTACAGGACAAGCCGGTACCTCTCAACTTCAGGCTGTCGACATTGGAGACATACGACGGCGGCTCCGATCCCATGGAGCACGTATCCACATTCTAGGCTCAGATGGCCCTCTATGGCACCTCCGACCACTGTAAGGGGACCGACATGAGCATGGTTTAGCCGGCTACGCCAATCCTCGATCTCATCCTTCGACCAACTCGTTGGGAAGTTTGAGCAGAACTTCCTCGCCAGCGCACGACCTAGGCCTTCCATGGCCACCTTGCTCGCGCTATCCCAGCACGAAGACGAGTCGCTTTCTTAGTTCGTGGCACACTTTGCCACTGAGATCCGGGGATTCCCGGACGCTCACCCTTCTCTTATCATGCAGGTGTTTCTAATGTTTCTAATGAGCTTGAAGCCTTTAAGGTTCTTCAGGTCACTGATCGAGAGGTCGCCAGCAGCCATCCTCGAGATGCTCCAGCGTGCCAACCAGTACATCGCCGCCAAAGCTATGGTGGCGGGAAAGCACATGAACAACAAGAGACTAAGGGCGGAGCAATCCCAGGGAACAACTTCAGCAGCCCTGGTGCAACCCCGCCAGAGGCCCGACTGACAAGAGCTATTGCTCCCGAGACCTTCGCCTCTCCCTTTGAGCACATTCCACTGAGACTACGGCCACGGTATGGAAGATTGTCATGATCTCCAGAATCGAAGCGAGGACTTCATCCGAAAAGGTTACCTTGGGCGCTATCTCGAGAAACCCCAAGAATCAACTCCACATCACAGGGGACCCATCGAAAGACGTCGACCAAGCACTTGCCCGAGCCTCTCCAGATCGGTTCTCGACCTGCGGCTCGCCATCCCAACTCTTGCCCAAGCCTCTCCAGATCGGCTCCCGACCTACAGCCCACGGGCCCAGCTCTTGTCCGAGCCTCTCCAGATTGGTTCCCAACCTGCGGCTCGTTGGCAAAGCTCTTTCCCTAGCCTCTCCAGATCGGTTCCTGACCTACAGCCTGTAGGCCCAGCTATTGTCCGAGCCTCTCCAGATCGATTCCCGACCTACAGCCCGCAAGCCCAACTCTTGCCCGAGCCTCTCCAGATCGGTTCCCGACCTGCAGCCTGTAGGCCCAGCTATTGTCTGAGCCTCTCCAGATCGATTCCCGACCTACATCCCGTAAGCCCAACTCTTGCCCGAGCCTCTCCAGATCGGTTCCCGACCTGCAGCCCGCAGGCCCAGCTCTTGCCTGAGCCTCTCCAGATCGGTTCTCGACCTATAGCTCGCCGGCCCAGCTCTTGCCCGAGCCTCTCCAGATCAGTTCCCGACCTACGGCCCACAGGCCCAACTCTTGTCCGAGCCTCTCCAAATTGGTTCCCGACCTACAGCCCGTAGGTCTAGCTCCTGCTCGGGTCGCTCAAGATTGCTCCCGACTGGCGACCCGTCGGCAACTCAATTAGGAGCCAAGATCACAACTCGGTCCCCAGACTCAATTCGGAGTCGAGCTCACAACTCGGTCCCAAGATTCAATTCGGAGCTGAGCTCACAACTGGGTCCTCAGACTCGATACAGAGCCAAAGCTACCCACTCGGCCAAATCCAGCGTCTGAGCCACGCACATCGGCCATCCAACGCTCAAGTTGCATCTCGGCCAAATCCAGCGTCCAAGCCACACACATCGGCCATCCAACGCCCGAGTCGCATCTTGTCCAAATCCAGCGTCCGAGCCACGCACCTCGGCCATCCAACGCTCGAGTCGCATCTCGGCCAAATCCAACGTCCGAGCCACGCATCTCGGCCAAATCCAACACCTGCGTCGTATCTAGGCCAATCCAATGCTCGAGTCGCATCTTGGCCAAATCCAACGTCCGAGCCACACATCTCGGCTAATCCAACGCCCGCGTTGCATCTTGGCCGATCCAACGCCCGAGTCACATCTCGACCAAATCCAGCTTTGAGCCACACCTCGTGGCTAATCTTATGCCCGAGCCACATCTTGGTCAATCCAGCGCCCGAATCACTGGCCTAGTCCGTTAATCCAAGTCGCTCCGTGTCGACCCCCGACTCGCTCGCTAACTTGCAAACTCGGCAACCGTAACTCCGAGCCGTGCCAAACCCATTATTCGACCTACGACACATCGTTTTCGCCTCACCGGTTTCGACGCTTCGGTTTCGCCTCACCAGGCCCCTATCGTTCGACCAGCAGGGTTAGTCCTACCTAAATCACGAGGCACCGCCCCTCTAAAATGCCCCCCGTCGAGTCAATCCAACACCGCCGCACAGGTCTCACCTCGTCGGTTTCGACGCTTCGGTTTCGCCTCACCAGGCCCCTACCGTTCGACCAGCAGGGTCAGTCCTGCCCGAATCACGGGGCACCGTCGCTCTAAAACGCCCCCTGATCAGTCAATCCAACCTCGTCGCGCAGGTCTCGCCTCGTCGGTTTCGACTTTCGGTTTCACCTCACCAGGCCCCTACCATTCGATCATCAGGGTTAGTCTTGCCCGAATCACAGGGCACCGTCCCCCTAAATTACCCGTGATAAATCAATTCGTTCCTCCCACAAAAAGTCCAGTGCTGTCATATCCCTCAAACCCAGGCATGCCTCCCGGACCGCCAGCGATCCAGTATGCCTCCATAACCGTGGGGTGCAGACCGACGTGACACAGTACGCCTCCAGAACCGTGGGGTGCACGCCACGTCAAGCTCCAACGGTGCGACTATGCGGCCTGACCACCCCAAGAGCTAAGGGCGGTGCTATCTGCTGTTAGGGCAGTGTCGTATAACGTCGCTCGAGCACCCCCGAAGATGCCATCTCGTCAGAGAGGTTGTTCCGCCCCCAGAGTCAACGGCCATGCCGGACTAGGGCACGACCAATTCCCGCACGCAGGTATAAATACCCCCGACCTGATCCAGGAACGGGAGAGGCAAAAAAATCAATTGATCACTCGACTAACTTGCTCGTCGGAGGGACCTCGTCGGGTGATCCTGACGAGGACCATTTTTACAAGAAAACGCGATCATCTCATGAAGACGAGTTGCCAACCACTCGGGAATTGCCATCCAGTGTACGAAGGAGAGCAGCCAACCGACCCGGATCCCGACCAACACCAACCAGCACCCCTTCCCGAGACCGCGAGCACCTCAAGAAGACGAGCTGCCAACCACCCCGGAGAAGGAGAGACGCAACTTGGCATACACGACGCTTAGATTGGCACACCAAGGAACGCTGATCAACACCCCGTCGCGAGGGCCCGGTCGACCTCGGAATCTAGCTAAGCCAACAGAAGATTCCCGATATTGACTCGTGGACCAGGCCGTGCTGACTTATCAGCCATGACACATTTGTTTACTAATAGTAATCTTGCCGAGAGAGGGGACAATGTAGTCGCCACACAAGCAACACTACACAAAGGTAATAGAAAATGACAAATAAAAAAAAGGAGAAGTGGGAATGATAAAAGACAAGATATTTTCATCAAATTAATTAAAAAGATCGTTTCAAATAAAAATCAATTAAATGGTGCCCTTCGGTAAAAACTTAATAAGGAAATCTTTTTTAGATAAAATATTTTTAATTATATTTATAAAAAAAATATTTTTTATGAAAATAATTATTTTGATACCTATGTGAAAAATAATTATTATTTTTTTTATAAAAATAGATAAATTATTTTTAAAACATTTTTTTATGTTCGAGTTCAATCAATTTAAATCGAATAAGGATGCCTTTTAATTTAATTTGAGATAGCTATGTGTAGAAAAATTCTTTAAATCAATTTTGGGACAGATTTATCAGTTAATTAAGTTTGATAGGATAATAATAGGTATCATATGAACTATAGATGATTTTAAATTATTTAACAATTAGTGTATTATTATCTTAACTATTAAACGGTACCAAGGAAAATTTGAGGATTAATAAAAATAGAAAAATAAGACTATTTCCTCCTCTAATCTTTCAACCGGGATTGACTTGCACAAGTAACAAGCAAATTTTTAACCTTTATAGAAATATGTGTATTAGATATAAATTTAAAGAAAAAAAATGCATCAATCATTTGAAGTTAGAGAGATAGTTAAGCAAATTTATTTTTTTATCATATCTATTATATGCGAATAACTTAGAGGGATATTGTTTTCATATATGGAGCTAAATAGTTATTGGGATGATGTCGAGTTGAATAATTATTATAATATCTCAATTAGTTTTATATTAAAAACGGATTAAGATTAAGATTAATCTATAAAAATTTGATAGGTGTATTATTATTAATTTCAGTTTAAATATTTTAATCAATTATTTAGGTTGAACAAAGTTAATAAATCAATTAGTCAATCATATCGGGTCATTATAATTTAGCCCATAATTTTTAAATAATTTAATGTGAATATTTGATTTTGTCATGTAATACGTATTCCCATTCGAATCAACAACCCAAGTTATATGTTCTATTTTTAAAAAGACCATGTATCATGATATCATGGTTTATATGTCATAATTAATATATCATATAATTATGAGAAATAATGATTTACATATATAAATAAATTCCATTTAAAACTTTAATAATTATTACATTCTTCTCTTACTCCATCCTTTTCCAATTGATACGTATATTATTTCTAGTCGTTAACATAAACAATTTATATGTGTAATATTTCTAATCGTTAACGCAAACTCATATGAATGACATCAATTATGGTTGGAAATTGTTGAAATAGTTCGATTTTGATTTTTGAAGACTAATTCTTATTTGAGAATTTTTTTTATAAATTTGATTAATCGATTTGGATCAAATCAATTTTAATTTTACAAATATTAATCTGATCAAGTTCACCATCTAAAGCCCTTAACAAGTGCAAATTAATTAATCAAATAAATGTCAAATTTGTCTAAATTTCAATATCATAATTCTACAAACGACTCTAATTTTATCGATTAGATTCAATTAAATCGAATTAATTCATTTAAAATATATTTTTTAAAAATATTTAAAATTATAAATTGATTAGTTGAATCAGTGTTGAATCTCGTATTTTGATGATGAAACCAATTGATAAGTGTTCATGTTTCAATCTACGTTTTGAGTGACGTATGATGCTTTAATCAGGATAAGACAATTAAAGCAGGAAAAATCATGTTGGGCCGGAGAAAAATAGTCAGAAGATTGGACGTTGAGCCGGTGGATCGGTCGAGGTATCGACAGAAGGCTTCGGGCCATGGATTCGGGCATCGGGCCTAGAAGAGCAGATATTGCGTCAAGGATATCAGAGTTGCGGAGTCAACTGACCGATTGGGCAATAGGTCGCAAGAGAGGACGATGTGCCGAAGAATCAAACGAAGCGTCAAAGGACAAATGACATGTCGGATAACATGCTTAATGCTTAGTATTAATTGGTTAGATCGAAGTGTGTTTTACATGTGCATGATTAACTAAGATAGCAAGACATGAAGCAAACTGAAGTCCCGTAGTCAAGGACGCGATTTCGTTGGGAGTTCGAGAGTTCGTCGGAAGTCCGAACGTTCGTCGAAAGTTCTAGCGGAACCAACCGAGAAGTCTCGGAGCTTGCTGGAGAAGCTCGTCAGAACTCGCCAAGAAGATCATCGTGAAGTCTAGGAGCTTGCCGAGAGTCCGCTGAAACATTGTCGAGAGATCATTAGAAGTTTGTCGGAAGCTCGCCGGAAGAATAGACTTACGGACTTTTTTAACTTAGATTATGTCTTAGATTTCATAGTTAGCACATAATTGGATTTGGATTTGGGCCAACCCAATTAGGGGCCAGTTATGCCCATGTAAGGACTGTATTGGGGCCAATGAGAGACCCAAATAGTGCCCTAAGAAGTCTCATCGTCGTGACATAGTTTTCGAGACTATGTCAAGCGATGGTACCACTAGTTTGGGCGGTTGTACCACCCATTTCAGGGTGCCAGGCAATGGTACCGACCAGCACAGCCCCCAGGCGGTGGTACCGCCCAGAACAATGTCAGTGTCAGACTGACACTAGCGGTGGTACCGCTCGTGCCCGGGAAACCCGGGATGAGATGTTTTTAGGCTTCAAGTTTAAATAAACTTGAAGCCTATAAATACCCCTATCATCCCTGGTTAAACCACACAAGTGCAGAGTATTCAAAAGTGAGAAAACGCTGCTGTGATCTCTTTAGAAATTTCCTCCTCCACTCTAAGTTTAGAATTCTGTAAGAGGAGTACGAGTGCTTGTAAGGGTTATCTTCTAAACCCGTGTAAAGGAGAAGAGAGGTGTAAAAGGTGATTGGTCTTCGCCTATTGAAGGAAGACTGATAGTGGATACCGATGGCCTCAACGGAAGAAGAATCGACGAAGTGGATGTTGGTCACGACGATCGAACCACTCTAAAATCTGGTTTGCATTTCTTTGAGCAATTTACTTTAAATACAAACCTCCTTACTTGCTCTTTACATCCAGTACTCTCTTGTGTACGCTTTCAAAGTATTACATTTACGAAACGGTTTTACGTCGGAAATGATTTTAATCGAAACGAAGTTTTGAAGACGTAATTTTTACCACTGCACTAATTCACCCCCCCTCTTAGTACTGACCCCGATCCTAACAATTAGTTGATTTTGAATCGATTTGATTATATTGGTCTGAATTAATTTTTAGTTCGAATCTATTTTATTTTAATTAAAACTAAGCTATTCGATTTGAATGAAGCTTAACACCCTTTGATCACTATTATGTCTCTTATACTTTCTCAAGTAATAACGCCACCGAGTTCCGGGGTTGACTCAGAACGATACCACATGAATTTATTGCAATCCCTGTATCCTGTCGCGGTTCGTACTCTCTCGTGTTTGATCTTGTAGAACCGATGATGATACGGAGTCCAATGAATGATACGACACACATAAAAAAAATCAAGTCTTTTTTGTACCAAAGATGGAATTGAATGCACGATCAATGTAGCATTCCAACAGAGTGTGACCCATTGCCACTCATCCACGTCGGACGCAGCTTTTGCATCACCATCGGCGTCTTCCTCTCGATTAAACGTCATCAGCTCCATAAAGGTTGTCGGCCTCCTCTCGGCGGTCAATTCGTAGGCTCATGAGACGGCGGTGGCGTTGCTCGGCGGGTCCGAAATCAAAGAAATTGGAATCAAAATCGAATCATCTGATACGGCTTCGATTCAATTCGAAATCATCGAATCATTGATTCTAATTCTTCATCTATTCGATTCACGTTCTCTTTCGATTCGAATCCAACCACAGTCTTGTATGCGATGACAAAACGTATGGCAGCCACCCATTTCGCTGCTCCGCGATGACCGACCGAGTACCTCTTAACGTTAGGAAAAAAGAATCAAATCTTTTGATTCTTTTACCGTCTCCATCTCCTGCTACCATATTACGTGGACCAGATCGTCAACACGAGTCACTCAAGATGCCACATCACTCCTGAATTTTTTCATGGCCGACGCGACCCCACAAATTCTTCAGGTGCCGACGTCTATGACACAAATAGTTCGCCAACATAACCCATTCCTTTTTGACACGTATCACTTTCACGTGTACTTCGCTTGATAAGTCGTGGCCGCCGCTGCGGTGTTACGGTTGGTAACGAGTTAGTTAACGAAACGATGGTTGGATTCCTGGTACATGGTCAGCCTTTCCCGCTCGCTTTGTTGCTACTTTATATTTCGTGCGCATGGCTACAGTTGCGGTCCTTTCTGATGCCGTGGTCCAGTATTGGAGCGGCCCTTAACTGTCATCAACACCAATGCCTATATTTACTTTTTATTTTCTTTATTAAAGAAAAAAAATCAGCATATAGATGTTTATCCATGAGCTCTCACATTCATAACTATCAAGAGGAGAGAGATACAAGTAAATAAATATGTTGCTTGTACGCACAACAGGGACGGGTGTACAGCCACAAAGGTCTCATAAAGATCTCTACGTCTTAAATCAAAGTCCTGCATCAATTGACTTATAAGATGTTGACAGGAGGCAGTTTCTGGTCCACCACAGCGCATACAACCAACATACTGGCAGATGGGAGGGAGGGGGTATAAAAACCAAAGGCAGTTTGGAGCAGCCCACAGGAAAGCTGAGAACCTCCCTTGGCATGGCCCCTGGTTTTCGATCGCCTTCCCATAAAAATGGTATCATTGCGGAGCCTCCCTGCTTCTTATGCCTCATCTCCATCACCTTCAGCCAACAGGAATCGTCCCAACCTCCATCCCGATCTCAATCTCCCCTTCCCTTCCTTAAAAAAGAGGCATTCAGAACATAGATTTCTGCTCTTTTTGAGAAAGCAAAGCGACATAGATTTGCTCGCGAGTACGGCGGCCATGTAGGTGTACAGGAATCATCACCCAATCTTCCCTTCCGCTGGTACCTTTCTTTCTTTGTTCCTTTCCCCACCTTGCAACCCAGCTACCTTTCTGCTTACGCTTGCCAAAAATCCAATCTTTTCCACGTTCTTCGTGTTTTCCCGGTCCAGCATTCCGTAACTCCTCGAAAGTTGTAATTTTGATTGCGACTGTGGTTTCGGTGGATCGACTATCCCCGATTTAGAGCTTTGCCTTTCTTTTCTTTTTGTGTGTGTGTTTTTCTTTGGATGAGGGTCGACGCCACCTTGGCTGACCGCGAGGTAAGAGAAGAGTTGGCGACGGAGAAGGGCAAGTCATCGTCCAAAAAGCGGCGGCAGAAGAAGCTGGCATCGATGCCGCGTGCCGTGCAGAGGCTGTTTGAAACTTGCAAGGAGATTTTTGCTGAGGGTGGGCCTGGCATCATCCCATCACCGAATGATGTGGAGCGCCTTCGATCTTTTCTTGGTACTGTTCTAATCTACTATAGGTGAATGGATCATTTTGTTTCTTTGCTTTTCTTAATTTGCTTTCTGGTTTGTCTCACAAGGGTTCATCTTTAACTGTAATGTGATTACATAGATTGCTTTACGGCCATTACATATTGACATATATGATAATTGTTTACTTTAGTGCAAAGATTGGATTAACTTGTTGTTTATGGATATGCACACATTTCTGTATACCAGACATGACAATTGATAGCTTAAAGCAGCGATTTTGAAATAAGATATTGGTTAATTTCTACTTTTCTTCCTGGATTCGATTCATGCACGCTTCTTGCTAGACAAGCTATGTCTAATATTGGAGATGCTGTTCCTTTCTTATTATGATCTGATGTTACATCATAAAACTGAACTTGGAGTACTGACAAATATGAGCAAAACAAGAGGCAACTGGACTGTCTCCGTACCTGTAGTCTTAATATTTTGTATTCCTTGATTTTTTTGCTAATACGGGAGTTCCACGCACCACGTGGTTCTTATCATTGTCGATGTCTGAGATGTTTAAGCTAATACTTCTTTATATATATATATATATATATATATATATATATATATATATATGTATGTATGTATATATGTATGTATAACCAGTCGGTAAGTACAAAAAGTTTTACCATTTTTCAATGGTTAGATCATGGTTTTTCTGCCCTTTCTCTCCCCATATCTGTCATTCGACATGTCATGTTTTTGTGGGGTTATAACAAGGAATTTACTATATCTGAGCACATCTATTGCTCCAATGGCAGTTTTGATTTTACTGTCCAATCTTATGTTGTTTCTGATCTCCTATATTATAGAAAATTGCCATAGATTACATGCAGGAAACAAGATATATAATTATAGCAATTAGTTGAATGCAGGTAATCTAAACATATTTTGGTTCAGTGATCTCATAATGGAAACATAGAATTGGAATCTGGATATATCTATCCTTTGGTTAGTTTCATTATCACCTTTGACCTGTATTGTGTATTTGATATGGTTTGTGGTTTTGTCCTCTCATGCAGATACTTTAAAGCCAGCAAATGTTGGTCTAAGTTCTAACATGCCATTTTTTCGGAATGTTGGGATGGATGGACCTCCTCCAGTTACATATTTGCACATTTATGCATGCCCCAAATTTTCGGTATCCAACATTCTTTAGATTCTACCATTTAGTGCTTTGATTTTGTAGGCAGTTTGGAAGGTTACCATTCTCCTTTGTTGCTGGCTACATTTTGCAGATTGGTATCTTCTGCCTCCCTCAAGCAGCTGTCATTCCACTTCACAATCACCCAGGCATGACTGTTTTTAGCAAACTCCTTTTTGGCTCCATGCACATTAAGTCCTACGATTGGGTTAATGATCCTCAGGGCTCCAATGAGAAAATCAAATCCTCAAGTGGTACGCGCTCTGTTGGAATTGTTCAGTTTGTATGAACACGAAGAAGCATGTTGCTTGCTAATTTGTTTTTCTTGTTATTAGTATGTCATTATTGTTTAAAAAATGCAGGTGCATGTTTGGCAAGGGTGAACACTGATGCCATCTTTAAGGCACCCTGTGAAACATCGGTTTTATACCCTACCACTGGGGGTAACATGCATTGTTTTACTGCAGTAACCTCCTGTGCAGTGCTAGATGTCCTTGGACCACCATACAACGATGATGAAGGTAGGGCTTGCATTTACTACAAGGAGTATGCATACTCAAGTTTTCCAGGTATGTTCATCATTCTAACTTGCAGCGACTTTCTAATTGATGTTTCTACTCTAATATCCTATGGCGTTACGTTCATGCGATGCCAAATTTATGGACACTAGCATCAGCTTGGAAAGCCTACAAAAATGTAGTACCTTGACATTTTTATTCATGGTATTGGTATATGAGGTTTAAAGGCAGCTATTGGTAATATCGCAAGTTAATCCTGCTGGCTCCTCGTAACCCACGTTTAATATTATGATGCCGCTGATTATGTTGCAAGAGTATGTCCAATTTTTTTACCAATTTTCCATATATGCCTTTTCAAGTTAAGTTACGAAACAGGGTTTAGTACCATATGCATATTATATCCAGATTTTTAGTAGGACTCTAGCTGACTGTATTGAATTGGGTGATTACAAATCTCAAAACAAGCCTTTAGGAAAGGGTTGGATATATGATTTTTAATATCTCTTCTCACAAGTAAACCAGTTAGGCTTGATGTGTAAATGAAACCTGAGTGAATGGTGCAAGCTCAAATGAAAAAATAGGTACGTCGCAAATTTTTTTTTAATTAAACATTGGGAAAGAGAGATAGGTTCGGGAATTGAACTCATGACCAGCTTTGATATCGTCTAGACCATAAATCCTGAAGGCTTAAGCTGTTAGGGAAGATACATGCTTTAACACCATAGTGGAATGGATCCTTAGAAAGCTTATGTCAGGGTGTCAGGGGTTTGGTAGCCATATCATATTACCTAATTTTTTGTGGTAACTCAATGTGTGGGATGATAGACCTCACTACCAATTATGGCAAAGAAAAGTTTTACTACTTTGAATTCAAACATTAATCATTACCGATGTCGAGTTACTTTAAAACCACTAAGCCTTTTTCATAGTTGTCCCTTCATATCGCCTGAGCTGGAAATAATGTGTCTCAGGAGCCCTTGTTGATTTGTGGGCAATGAGGTGCCATGATGTTCTTGAGATTATTCTAATTTCATTATCTAAGGAACAAATTGAGCTGGACATCTCCTGTTGAAAACAAAAAACCATGGCTTATAATCTAAGAAACTATTACATCGCGGAATAAAAATGTGACAAAAATCTTGACTATTAACTGTAATATTTCAGATTGGATTAGCAATATGTTTGTTCCTTGAATGAAAATTTTCATCTTTGAGGCAAGTGTCTTGTGGCATGACCCATTATTGCAGGCGATGCAATCGTGTTGTCTGGTGAGAGCGAGGAGTATGCATGGCTGGAAGAGAGGGGAAGTGAGCCTGATGATCTTGTCGTGCGTGGTGCTGAGTACAAGGGCCCAAAAGTTGTAGACTGCTAATTTGCAACTCTGCGATGATGCTGCTACGTTTGCAGCAAAGCACAAAGAAGCTACGGGGCTGGTTGTTTGAGTGTAGATACATAAAGAAAGAAAAGGTTAGACGATAAGATCGGGGCGGTGTTTGCTCACCTTCAAAAATCGTCTCTTCAGAAACCTTTTTCTTTGATAGAATACTAGCTTAGACCCCCCCAAAAAAACATTTCAGGGTCTGTTCCAGGGAGTTTGGTTCTGGTCATGGGTTGTCATGGAAAGCCATTCTTGTGTAGCTTGAGAAGGTTACGAAGCTCGCTGATTTCTTTGTCTCTCATTGGACTCTGATGGCTCTTCTTCATTTGTAAGGCCTGAAGAATCAATTGAGCATTTGCGAGTCATCCTTTACTGTGATCACCACTTTGTTTTCATGTAATTGTCAATGCTTCTCCAGTTCTGTTTGCTTGATGTTTGTGGTGGTTGATCTGACTTCGATCCTGCTGATGTTGAGCTGCATCCATCGAACTGTTGCGTTTTTATGTTGGTCTTTAATTGCACACTAATTATATATTATTAATCTAAGAATTATGGATTCTGTCTCTCTAAATTATCCTTGAGGTCAGTGTAAATATCATGGATGTAAACTAAATCATGCTACGAAAGCTTAACCTTTCAATTAACTTTGCAGCTTAGAAAATGGAAATTTTAAGATCAAAAATTTATTTTTACTTATATTTCTAAAAAAAAATAGTTTATCATTTAAAAATTTAATGTGATTTTCTTTATATTGTATTCTTAACAATATACTAATTGGTTTAAATCATAGGATCCATCAAAAAGTTTCTCTCCCCCACGTATATAAATAAATGGAATTGGTTCTCTCTCTAAGACATCCAAAAGACCACAAAAAAGGGTATAGTTCGTGTTTATCCTTCATGCATTTCTATTATTCTTAATCCATTCTTTCATATTTTGTGCCACCGCTGTTTGCTTATGTGAAATTTCCAAGTAAAATTTAAGGCTCATCTTATTCAACTTCCATGGCCCAATTAGGCCCATGAGGCATCTACATGGCCCATTTGGTCTCGGATAACTCGCATGCGAGTACCGACCGCTTGGGGTGGGATGGTTGGCCACGCAGGGGTAGTTCCGTTATTTAACGAAAGAATTCCCCCAATGCGGAGAGCGCATCTTTTGTGACCCTCAGTTCTATCTAGGGTTTCCCCCTCCCCCTCCCTCATAATTTTTCCGCGAGGGTTTCGAGCTCCCGCTGCAGCTCGAACTGTTTCCATCCCTGGCCGTCCTCGATTGCTTCTCCAGTGAGTTCCTGCTTCGATCCTTCTCATAGTACAATCTCTACTTTGTTGTCTTGGATTTGCTTTCCAGAAGCATGCGAGGCTGATTTCTCGTCCTCGTCTTTTTATTTCTTTGGGGCTTCGAGTCTTGAAAGAACGGTTTTTGTGGGCATCGACGCGTTCGGGGAAGGTCGAGGTGCGTCGCGTAGTGGTGAGCGTGATGGGGTTAGGATAAAGAGCAAGGGCTTGAAGATTTCTATGGTTTCCGTTGTCGGTTTGGGGGGAGAAAATGTTGACGTTAGGGTTTGGTGGTGCGAGCTATGATTTCCGGTACCTGATTGAGTTGGTTTAACGGCGTTGTCGTTTGGTGGTCTCAATCCATGAGGCGAAACGTTTGTTATTTGAGCTATGATCACGGCTTTGTCTAGTGCCTGAATGCTTTTTCCAAGGGTTATTATGATTGCTTAGGTTCAACCCTTAACCGGGATTTCATTAGCTATGTTGGCAGCCATGCTTGCTATGGCGATTCAGAATTGTCAACTCGTAGCCTTTGTTGCTTCTCTATCACGTTTCTCATTGCAGCCATATCCCGACTAAAAGTTAATATACATTTTCCTGTTATCTAGATGTGGTTAGGGGCTTACTTTAATGAGCTTGCCAACGTCAAGCCTTGAGTCTGCAGAATAGAAGCACGCTTTGCTGTTTCTAACCCATCTTTGATATTGCTAATTGTGGGCTTCATTGCTATGGTGATTATGATAAACTCTTATGTGCAATCCTACCATCTGCACTAGCAATTACTCAGGCTGAAAAATGGTTCTCAGCTTTCTAATTCTTTGCCTCTTCCTTTATAATCATAGTCATAGAATAAGATACTTTTAGCATATTAATTTTTTATTATCTCAATTTTATATTAGTTCCTTGCCTAGGTTGATTTGTTCAGTTTTGTAAAACCAAGATTGCTTCATTTCATTATTAAGTCAGACACAACTGTCTTATATTGTACTCTGCAAACTATTAGTTTGTTGTATACTCAGGCATAGTGGCTTTGTAAATAATGTTATTGTTCATGTCTAGTAGCATGTTGCAACACTTTTCTCTCGCTTTTTCTTTTTTGGATTTTTGCATACAACCTCGATGTAATTTATTTACTATGCGAAACCTCCTTGCTCACGTGTTTGCAATTCAAAACAATGCAGTAGAACAAAGGGAAGGAAATAAAAGATGGAGACAAAAGAATGGCTGTGGTGGTGTTGGGGGTGTAAGGGCTAGTGGTGGAGGATGAGGGTGAAGATGAGGTTGGGGATGTGATGAAGGGGGTGTAGCAGGATAGATTATTATACTATTGGTGGTTGAGTAGAAACAGGGAATGGAAGAGAAAAATGGAGCTAGTGTGGGCAACAATGATGGTGGAGGAGATGGTGAAGCATGAAATAGTGGTGAAAGGCGATAATGTAGGTTGATTTTGGAGTGGGAAATAAAGGTGGTTGGAAAGGATAGCCATGCACTTAAAGTTTGAAGTACTTAAAATTATAATTTGATTCAATATCTAAGAATATCTTTTATGAAATTTTCTTATACTTGTCTTAAATTTGGATTTTAAAAAGGTGTTATAAACTTTAATTTATAATCTGGAGTAGTTGAGTTTTACATCAAGTAATTGACAACATAGAGTATGTATGTACTAGTTAGTGGTATTAGTGCAGGAGGGACAGCAAAATATTTTGAAGAATTTATTAGAAACAATGAAAATGGATTTGATGGCTGTTTGTTTGACTAGTTTATTCTCAACAGAACACAATAATAGAAATGATCAATTTAATTGATCCCAAGTTGTTGGATGAGTCATATCTCTCGACTGTACTAATTTTCCGTGACCTTTTCATATAAACCATGTATTTATATGCATATAGGATAGTCTTGGGTTTGGATGATAATGACTGTGGATGGATTGGGTGCTACTTCCTGTTAACATGAATATATTTGATGATCCTTTTTTCACTATAAATCTATGACAGTATTCAGGTGTGGTTTATATGCACTACCTGTTTATGTTTCTTATTGTTCGATATTCTGTTATAAACCAATGGATGTTGGTATTTTTAGATACATACAAGATGCTGCACGTTATAGATTAGGAGAGACATGATTGCATTACTCTTTCAGTTTACTTTAATGAAATTTTATTTGCTCATTTCTCATGACAGATTTTTTTTCTTCCCTTTTTCCCTTTTCTTTTGATTCCTGTGCATTGGAAAATAGATATTTATTCACATAGACCAAGAAGATTATATTGGGCTTCAGCTTGATATCTAATTTATACAATATTCTTTTTCACTATATTGCACCTGTTGAACGTCACCCTCTTGATTATCAATTTGAGATACTTTCTCTTGCCTGTCTCATATTACTCGTACTGTTGTCAACCACATGGGAAATCTTTGACTTTGAAACTCCTTTGAGCCACCATGGCTCGTATTGAGTTGAGATTCTTACTCTGTAATTCCTGTTGGCCTTTCTATTTTCCTCATTCCAATGTATCTATGCTTCCTCTCGCGAATGCTTTTGGCTCCTGTGCTTCTTCCACAGTTGCCTTGCGAGCTTCTTTCAGATACCTAAGATGCCGAGGACAAGGGCAAGTGCTGCTGCTGCCGCTACCAATCCAGAGCCAGCGAATCCAGCTGAGCCTGAGGAACAGGTTGCTCTTGATGACCCTGAGGAAATGATGGAAGAAGAGGTTGAGTATGAAGAAGTTGAGGAGGAAGTAGAAGAGGAGGAAGAGGAAGTTGTCGAGGAGGAGATTGAGGAGGAGCTTGAAGAGGAGGAACAAGAAACAGATGTTGCTAATGGAAGTAATGCTGGTGATGCAGCTGGTGGTGATGCTAGTATGGTAGAAGGTGAAAAGGATGACGATGAGAGTAAGAAGCATGCAGAGCTCCTTGCACTCCCTCCTCATGGATCAGAAATTTATGTTGGCGGCATACCTCATGATGCATCAGAGGAAGAATTGAGAAGCTTTTGTGAGCCAATTGGAGAGGTGACCGAGGTGAGTCACCTTTCTCTTACTGTTCTTTGCGTTCTCTAGGAACATATTTATCTGAGATTTGACAATGGCAGGTTAGGGTGATGAAAGCAAAGGATTCAACAGAGAATAAAGGTTATGCTTTTGTTACCTTTAAAACTAAAGAGTTGGCTTCAAAAGCTATTGAAGAACTAAATAACACCGAATTCAAGGTAGATATCCTTCATGTATCTCATAACACATTTTTTATGGATGTTATGAACTCCTATTGTATGAGAAATCAATCTTTTATTGAAAGAGAAGGATAATTATATTCACCTGTCTGCTCGTAATGCTTTCTGTTAAAAGTTGGTGTAAAGAGTCCCATTCAGTGAAATGAACTTGCTCTTAAAAATTATTACAAATTTAAGTAGACAACTTTTTATCCAAAAGTGCTGGAAACAATGACTTGTTTCTTAAAACTTTGCGATGATTTAGATATATGCTGAAATTATTTCTTAAAAAGCCGAGTTATGGTTTTTGTGACAACTTTTATGAGTTCTTATAAGGTGTCTTAGTTGTTTCTTGATTTTTCCACACTTAACTGGTGGTTACTGAGTTTAATAGAGGGGCATTAGATAAAGAGTTCTTTTTTTTTTCCATGTATGATCCAGTTTTTTTGTTGGTTCTGGAAGTTATTTCTGCACTGCATTTTTGTACCTTTAACAGAATATCAATGGCATTGCAATGCATTTCAGGGTAAAAGAGTGAAGTGTTCGACATCTCAAGTTAAACATCGGTTGTTCATAGGTAATATTCCTCGAAATTGGGCGGAGGATGATTTGAAAAGAACTGTGACAAGTATTGGTCCTGGTATAATTAAAGTGGAGTTACTGAAGGTTAGTGCATGATTACTTTCTACCAAACATCCTTTTTGTTTCTCTGTTTTTCATAATAATTTCAGAAAGAAAATTCTGCAGTGTGTGGTCATGACACTTCAAATATTGGTTTCTTGCATCTTCAAGTCGCTTAAAGTTGCATTGATATTTTTTGTCTTCTACTATCTTAGGATCCACAGAACTCTTCTCGTAACCGGGGTTATGCTTTCATCGAGTATTACAACCATGCATGTGCTGAATACTCGAGAAATAAGATGTCATCTCCAA